CGCACGCACGCACACGCGCACACGCATGCACTCTCGCACACAGGCAGGTAAGCAGGCACGCGCGGAGACTGACTGACTGACTGACTGACTGACTGACTGACTGACTGACTGACTGACTGACTGACACACACACACAGAGACAGACACACAGTGACTGACACACACACACACGCGCACACACACACACACATTTGCACACACCCATACGAGTGCAGATGATAGCATGGAGCAAGCAGAAGACGAGTAGTACAGACTGGCAGGCTGCAATTGTGGAAATGGAAAGAGAGGCCCCTTGCCTTGTAGCCAGCTGAAGTTTCGGGCTGTGTTTGTCCCGTCAGATATTCTGCTGGTGAGGTTCTTGGCATAGTGCCGATCATTTCAGAAGCCGGTAGCCCAGGCATCCGAGGTACTTGGTGGTTGCTGCCACGTTTTACGGTCTGCTTTAGCAGTAGTGGAACATCCTGCCGAGGTAGTGGTGAAGGGCTTGAAGGACCTTCCACAGAAGCTGTTTGAGCAGTCCTGGCCTTTCCAGCCGTTCTGCTCACTGCCTCTTCGGCATTGCATGGTGGCCCGCTACAACTCCAGGCATATCCACGAGTTGTTCCCGCTCTTCTGTGACCTCACCATGGTCAACGCGCGGGAGGCAATCACCAAGTTCGCCATCCCTCTTGCGTCGCACCCGAATGCAAGGTACGATTACTGGTGCGGGAGGTGCTGGTGGAGCGCGTCACCCCACTCCTGGGACACCAAGCGAGCCCCGTGCCTGGATTGACCTGATCTTTTCACTGGCTGCCCTATGTCTATGTCCGGGTCAGGTTAAGCTGCGTGCCGGAGCGCCTTTTCTTGCGGCCACCGCATTTGTACAGTGTGGCCTGCAGCCCTTAAAGTGCAGCATCTTTCAAGCCTGGCCTGTTGCGCTCAAGTCTTGAAAATGAAAAGTCAACAGCAGAGCAAGGTTAGCCATAGGCACAGGCTCGTTGGGAGCTGCTTTCTGGTCCCAAAGCAAAGGATCTCTCGAGAAGGCAGACTGAGTCGTTTGGCCAAGAACCACGACCCGATGTTCGAGAGATTGCATGCTATTATTCGTCTCCCTTCTTGCAAGACGTGTGTGTGGTGGAGCCAGCCTCCCAAGTTGCAGTTACAGCTGCTGTGCTCCCTGCTGGCCTTTGTTGCTTCTCGGTTTGCAGCCGACGGTTGCACTGAAGGCCACGCAGGCTTTCACGGAAACTCTCTGCCACGGTTGGGGCGGCCCGACGCAGTGGTCCGTGTCACTAGCTGCGAATGCGGCTAATTCGTTCGACGGTTTCCGTTGCCAGCCCGAAAAAGACACCTCTTTCCAAGCGGATCTTCTGGTATTCTGTGCTACATTCAGTTGGATTCCCTGGATCCAGAGCCTCTGCATCTGCCAGAAAGTCCTGAGGCTCCTGAATCAGAGCCAGAGTTCCAGTTGCTTCAAACGTTGAAAACACCAGATTTGCTTTGTTTAATGTGGTGAGGTAAAAAGACAAGCATTCCGGTACACTCCTGTTTGTTGCAAGTGGGGGGTGGATACCGACTTGAAGCTAGCTCAACCTGTGCAACGCCGGTGCAGACCCAGCAAGGGCAGCCTTCATTGGCTTGCAGTCTTTGGCCTCAGAATCGGACGAAGCGTGCTGTATGACCCGCCGACAGAGCCGGGACAGAGCCCGAGGCATCTCCTCTTCGTTAACAGCCAAATGGTCGGTGTCCCTGTTCATGCGTGCAGTGAAGTGCCTGCATAAAAGCGTGCAGCTTGAGGCCAGCGAAGAAGTGCCTGAAGCACAAGCACAGGCAACATGCGGTAATCATGAATGACGTTGCTGCAACATGCTCGCTTGCATGAAGAATGGCGTCCAGCAGGAGCCAGAGGCCAAAGCACACGATCCCTTCGCTGTCAAGATCCTGACGACGGTGCAGGCCCTCCCTTGAGTTTCCCTATGCAAGCTCCGGAGCAGAAGTTGCCACCCTGTGGGGGGGGCGGGGGCACCTGCCAGTCCAGAGGTTCATCGGAGCCTGAATGGCCTGCGTCACAACGATCATTTGAGGCGTGCAGAAAGCACCGACATTTGACAAGCAAGCTGGCCCTCAACAGTGTCCGCGCAAGAGGTATCGTCAGTATTGCAGCCGCCGCCTCCGCCGGCTCTACGTCCAGTTGCGCTTCAAGCACGGGAAAGGCCGCTTCAAGCAGGCCCGGCTTCCGAAAACCGTTTTTGCCAGGGAACTCCGATCCGTATGAGGCGACCTTCCCGGAGAATTTCGACGATCCGAAATGGATTTTCATTCCGCTGGTGCAATCAGAGCGAGCTTGGGCTTTCGGGGTGAGCCAGTGAGAAGCACAGGTGAGAAGTTTGCCTGGACTTCTTTCTGCGTTCAGGTACAGTTGAAAGCAGACAATGCAGCGGCTGCAGTGGACCGCTGAGCTTGGATGCTGACTGCCCACACCAGACTTTCACAGATGGGTTCCAGGCCTTTAATACACGCTGGCGACACCACTCAGAACGCAAGTGGGGACCTCGTTTTTTCGCCGCTGTTACTTGGCCAGAGCTAAAGGGGACATGCGAATCCGTCAGGCTGGCGAAGGCTTGCGAATATGCCAAGCAGCTAGAGGCAGCAGTTGTCTCGGTCCTTTTGCTGCGGGACGTTTCTATGAGGGAGGCAGGAGACATCATAAATCCGAGGTATGCAAAGTGCATTGCGATCAGCGCACCCAGCTTGAAGCGGAGGTCGACTCTGCATGCTTTTGTGGTGTCATGGAGCATCTGCAAGAAGCTTTCAACGCCCTGCAGGCTTATGCTGCTTTCATGTCAGGCCTGCTGCGCAGCTTCTCGTCTGTCATCTCGCAGTTTGGATGAGTCCTGTCGCAGGAACATGGCTCACGGAGCGAGAGAACTGGACTGAGGCAGGGTGACGGATAAGCCGGTCAGCCCTGTGAGAGCTCGGGGCTATTGAAGATTGCGGAGCCCTCGAGGCCAAGACGAAGCTGGCACGTAGCAAGAAGCTCTTCGAGCACTTCCTGCTGGCTGCAGACCAGGCTCATCCTTGATGAGATTCCGGACCATTAGCTGGTATTCGGCCTCCCAGCCAGGCGGAAGCCTCCGCCTTCCGAACATATCTTCAGGTGCCATTCGGAGTTCCCGACCCGACCCGACGCTGAGATGCTAATCCAAGCGACCAGGAGCTCGCCCCGATGCTTCGGGAGTGCAGGCAGCTGGTGTGTTGTGATGCTTTTCTTGGGTTCCTGGCGCTTTAGTATGTCGTGCCGTGCAGGTACAATCTTGGAGAGGCGGAGCAGGATGAAGATGGGCTCGGAAAGGTGGGCATCCGAAGAAGCTTTCGTGTCTACACATGTCTGCTATGGACGCTCTGGCAAGTGCTTGCTCGCTGCTCGTGAGGCAACTGCGACAGGTGTCGACAAGGCCTGTGTCAAACAATTAAGCAGACGGATGCTGGCACCTACGAGCTTCGTGGTCAGGGACGGGATGGGGACCTTGTGTTCCGCAGCCATGCCGTGTCGATTCCATCCGAGAAGATCAGATCCAAAGTTATGCAGCCGCCTCGGAGCAGCCTCGCGAGATCTGAGAGTCTGAGAGAGCGCCTTTGCCTCTCCGCGAGGAAGTGCTTCGAGATGACGAAGGCCTTGCAGGCGCGGACAGAGTGCGGTGCGGCACACAGCGAGCGCGGAAACCGCGCGATGCTCTCAGGCCGAGGCAGACTCTACGGAGAATCCCCCGGGGGCTGTTTTCGCCGAGAAGTATGGTAAGGAACTCAGTTTCTGCATGGCTCAGAGACCTGGAGAGCGCGGGGTTGTGTTGAGGTGAGCTCTCCGTGGAGTATGGCGATGCACTGAAGGCAGGGAAGAGGGGGAAAGAGCTCTGTGCCAGCCAGTCCTGCCAGGATGTTCACTCTGAGATGATCGCAGCCGGAGCTGATAGCGACACGGCGGACTGGCGCATTGTGGAGGCCAGACTGAGGCCTTGGTTGGAGCCGGGGGTCCCTGACGCAGAATCGCAGGCATTCATCCGGGAGGCCTCGTCTTGCGTGAGCCGTTGGGCTGCAGATGTGCTGATAGCGCATCCGTTCTTGGTCCGGATGAGGGTCGCAGGAACTGTCGCAGGGCCTGATCGCTCCTGAGGTGTCGAGCGAAACCTGATCTTGTTGAGGCCCGGAAGCATGATTGTCAATGATGGAAGGAAAGTGCACGATCAGAGTCGCTGAGGGCCCTTGCGTTGGAGGAGCCACCTGGGGAAGCTGGATGAGATCGAGGATGTGAGCACCATTGAATCCCGGCGCCAGTGTCGGCCAGAGGAGGCCAGCAGCGCCATTTTTGATCGATCCGAAGTGCTAGCGCCCCCTGATTTCCTTCAGGGGATGCGCTTCTGCGAGCTCGTGAAGGAGGAGTTGGCGACACTCTCCCAGCTACCCGAGTCTTCCGAGGACATAGAGGCTCGGTCACGTTCCGTGTAAGGTAGGTTCGCTTGAGAACCTTGACCTTTTCAGGAAACGTTCGAGGTCTACAAGAAGGCGTGCAAGCCGCACTTGCCACGTCTTTAAGACAATTTGTGCTTCCATTACGTCGACGAGGTTATTCTTGATTATCGATGCCTCTACCTGGCCCTCTGCCATGCGGCGCTGGGAAAGTTGCTGGAGGCAGCCGAGAGCCCAGCGCTGTTCCACACTTTGGCCGCCCTTGCGCTGCAGGCAGCGGCTCTCTTGGAGATGCTGACGAGCCGCGTCGACGAGGCCGCGGAGCATGGTAGGGCTTGGGACAGCGCCCGAGTCCGAGATTTGCCGAGGCTCCAGGAAAGGAGCAGCCTGGGCTTTTGCTTCGACTTCAAGGCTTGTTCCAGCACATACAGCAGCAGCTGCCGCCGGAAAGCCCAGCTGACTTGAGGAGGGAGGGGGTTCATCTCAAGCTGATACGCTCATGACTTCAGGTTGAGGGTCGCACGCTGGCGCTGCAGGATTTTGGTCCAGTTGGCCAAGGCTTCACGTTGAGCACCCTGCCACTGTTTTCGGTTTTTGGCATGAAGCAGACCAGAGCGTTCTTCAGGCTAGCAAGAAGAAGAAGGATGCCGAGGCTGAGGCCTGCGATGTTCGTTGTGCTCTTTCTTCCCAGCGCTTCTTCTTGGATTTCGTCGCATGAGACCACGCGGGATCTCAGGAAGCGGCCGACCTGGTTCAGCCAAAGAACCCAAAGCAGGAACTCCATTTTTTCTGACTCTACTTGAGAACGGGTGTTTCCAACAGCGCTTGTTCCGCAGGACGTTCTGGCCACCTTCCCTCCGAGATTTCGAGACGTTCCATGCAAGGTGACCTTTGGCCGAGTGCTTGAAGTGTGAAACCGCTCTTGAATCCGCTCCCTGCCAGCCCTTGCTCTTCGACTTGGCTTTCCCCTGTATCGAGCACGGGCCCAAGGAAAAACGCCTTTAGTAAAGGCGCAAGGCCTTCTTTTCTGTCGAGACTCCTGCTTTTTTTAGGGCGCCCGACCTCGAAGCGATTCTCCCGAAGAAGCAAGAAGGTCGGGGGGCCCGGCTTTTTTGGGGCCCGGCTCTTGTCTGCCGTTCTTCGGAGCTCCTCCGAAGGCAAAGGCCGACAGGCCGTCGCTGCTGTGGCCGGAGCGCTGGGTCTTGGCCCCAGCTTGAGTACCGTACTCGCCATGTTATGCCAACACCCCTTCTTTGCTCTCCGTTGTTTCTGTTACGCACTGCAGATGATCAGGTGGTCTTGGCAGCAGACTGGGTGGCTGGATGGGCCGGAAGTAACCTGCATCGACGTGCTGAAAGTTTGCCCAAGATGGCTAAAAAAGGCAGCAGTGCAAAGCCGTGATTTTTTTGGCAGTCTTCATTTAGCTCATTTAGCTCGGGGAAACGGAGCCAAGCTGCAAGTTGTGTGCCAGCTTGTCGCATCATCGGTGAAGCCTTAGCGGACGATGAATCTAACGACGCTCACACATGATTGAAAACTTTGCTCACCGATGTCGTTGGCACGTGAACTGTGGTGCTAAAGAGGCTGCCTAGCTGGTGGTCTGTCATGTTGCCAGTGCGCCATGGCATTCCGGGCACAGCTGGCACATTGTCTACAAGGGCTTTTCCAGCTTTTCAACCGCGACCGACTTGCTAGACCTAAACTTGATGACAGACCGGGGAGACCATTGGCGGCTTTACCATCGATCGACTCTTGGGACGCGGGGCCTATGGCGAGGTGCCGTCTTTAGGAGTTCACCCCAATCTCACAAAGCCAAGAAGCGTAGCAGTGGCAACTCGTGGTCTTCTCGTCGTCGTCGGAGGGCCCCGGTCGAAGTTTCACGCAAGGCTCTGAGGCCAAGTTCCCTGCGACACTCTTCACTCCACTTCATTTTATGTCTTGTCTTGCACGATGTTTTCGGACAGGTTCGGCATGTGAGAACTTTATCGAAGACAACTGCCAGCAATCAACATAACTTACAAGCACTTGCATTAGACTCACAATGCAGAGAGCTGGATGTTAGTTAACCTGGATGCATTGACTCGTGTTCTCCGGCAACAGAGGGCAAGGCCAGGCCAAGGCATGCGAAGACCTCCTTCCGGCCAGGTTTTTCTGGTGCAGCGGCAGGGACGATATGCCATGAAGGCGGGGGGGGGGACGTTGTCCAGAGCAGCAGGCTGCAGCCTCACAAGTGCCCCGTATGTTTCAGGTAATCTCTTACGATGCGGCTCACCAAAGGGACCGGCTTCCTTGGCTAGCACAGCGCCTCATGAAGAACTGTAAAGCTTAAGGCAAGCTCAGATTTCAGATGCCCCGCAGGACGTCGGCAGCAAGAGCTCCGATCCTGCGTTGGAGGTCATCTTAACCAGTTGTGCTTGTACGAAGGTGCAGGATCAGGGTTACTGTTGCATCAGGCAGCCCTTGCCGAAGCGGCTCTGCTTCAGGAGCGGTCTTGCTTGAGGATCTTGCATCCTTTTGGCCGTGCATGGCATGATGATCCTCTGATGCTGAGATGCTGCGGCTAAATTGCCACACCGCACCACATTCGGCTGCAAGACCTAGCTTCTTGAGCACATGTGCCTTACTGGACATCGATGTAGTCTGTCGCAGTCTTAGCAAAGTATAGCCAGTGTCTAGACTCCAAAACAACCCTGGTAAAGCTGCTGTCGAAGTCAGCACTCATGCACGGCCAGGAGCTCCGCTATCCACACATCGCTGACTGCTCAGTTGTGCCATGTGAAACAGGGTAGATTTTCTTAACACCCTGCGTCGATCTGCGCTATCTAAGGTGAGTTGCGAAGATGTCTTGTACGAGATGGATCGGCAGCGCCAGCACGAGTTGCCTGTTCCTTCTGCTGGTGCTTTCTGCTATTAGAAGACTGCTGAGGCAGGTGGTCTGTCTCGTGTCAGGGCCCGAGGGGTGAGGGGAGCATTCAACGCCCGATCAGATCACAACCCAGGCTGGAATACATGGACGGAGGCGACCTTCATGGCCTCATCGATCGCCAAAGAGAGGCATTCCCTCGCTTCGTGGTGCTTTGGATCAGCTGGCGCATTGCTGAAATTATGGAGGCCGGGACTGGATTTGATGCACATTTTCCTCGCCGAGTGCTCGCAGCGGTCGGGGGTGCATTGCAGTGTGCCGCTCAGACAGCCCTGAATGTCCACCCCGAGTATGTGCTGGTGCCGCCACCGGAGTTTCTGAGGTACATACATGGCGTCGGCATCCTGCACAGAGACGTTTCTTGACTGTGCAGAATTTTGAAACGCGCCCAGGAATGTTGTGATCTTGGTGGTTGCTAGGGTTCCATATTAAAGATAGCCGCCAAAGTCTCTAAGTCTTCAGCCTTAGATGCTTCTGGCTCTGGGCAGGTCAAGCCTGCAAACATCCTGCTCTCAAGGCGCAGCACCTTGAAGCCTTGATGCTTATCCGGCTGATCCGGCTGAGATTGCACAGGAGATCCGGCCGGATCAAGATCTCCGACTTTGGCATCTCCAAGCTTGTCGAAGCCACGACCCTGCAGGCTCACAGCCTCGTAGGCACGTCCGATGCCCAGGGCGTGGCCCGGCCGACAGCAACTTCTGTGGCCCTTTTTGGAAAAAACTGCCCAAAGCCCGCACAAAAGAGGCCTTACTACTTTGCTCCCGAGCTCGTCTCCGGCGACGCGCCGGGGGGCCCTGCTGTTGTCCTTTGGAGACCTCCCCTTATGTGTGTGAAAAGCTTCTACCGGATGTGACGGACGGCAGGTATGGAGCACCTGCCGATGGCTGGGCGCTAGGTGGGGCGCCGACAGCAGCAGAGCAAGGATTTCTTTCGCGGCTCGACGTGTCGGACAGGTGCCGTGGTCTACGAGGTAGCTGCACTGCGTCGCCCGTTCGAGGCACTGAGAGGGGAGCCGATGGCCCAGAGATGGCACAGACTCAGAGCTTCCGAGGCAAGCAATCAACTAGCACTCGTCCGGAAGATTTGCGAGGACCGGAGCGACTCCGGACAGAACAGCTCGCAAGCGTGGAGCACCATGGATCCACCGAGAGGCTGCTGATCCTAGCATTTGGGCTCAGGGCAGTTTGCGGAGTCCATGCGGTGCCATGGCATACTCTCAAGCGGATCTTCGTTCCAGACGAGGCATGGTTCAGCTGCGGCATGGTTCACTGCTCGGTAGGGACCTGCTTCTCCAGTTTTGCCTCAGTTTTTCCGAGGCGGCCCTGGCGAGGGTGGTGGCTCGCCTTGGGGATCCAAGTATGATGGCAAAGACAAGGAGGTCGGGGGCGAAGGCGGCATACTGCAGATGCCGCGGGAGCTCCAGGTGCGGATGCCATGCAAAGGCAATGGTGACCTCCGTGCAAGTCCCCGCACTAGGTCACCTTTCTGCTGCTGTTCGTGACGGCAATGTGCCTTCATGCGGACCAAAATTTGGCAGCCCCCAATCTGTCGCAAATTGCCAGCGACTTCCAGATGACGCCGATGCAGAAGGACTGCGGACTCGAACGTCAATAATTGCTTTTTCTCACCAGGTCTTTTTTCCAGAGTGTGAGAGGACTCTCGGCTTGGTGGCCTGGTGCAGTTCGGCTTCTTCCTTGTTGGAGGAGCCCGGGCGGAGTCACGCGGAAAGGGGGAGAGCCTCCGTAGCCCGGAAGCTGAGGTGCTGTGTCCGTCCTTGTGGGACCTGCGGCAGACCAGTTTGACCGGATTAACGTCCTCTGCTGTGTTGTGCTCTGTGGCTGCATCCCATCGCTGCTCATGAGCCTCATGGTGCCGTCAACGAAGGTGGGGTCGGGCATTGGGCTCCAGAGTTGACAGCTCTTGAACCCCAGCTCGCAGGCAGGTTTCTTCTATTTCTTCATGGCGAGGATATGCACAGGGGTGGTAGCCTCGGCGATGAACTGGCGAGGGTGCGGCACATCTCTTCACTTAGCAGGTCGCGATCGGCGGCTCATTTCCAGAGCCTCAACTGCACAGCGAAGGCAGGCTTCAAGCAGTCGCTTCACTTTTCCTGAAGAGGTCTTGTTTGCATTCTCGGCGGACGTCTTTCCCGCCTCCCAGCGCGCGCTGATCTCTGGAGCCCTCAATGCTGCGGGCAATGTCGGTGCAGCGCTGGGAGGTCTAATGCAGCCTGGCCGGATCTTGAAGGACCCTTGGCGCTTCGTGGCTTTCGGGCATGTCTCTGCAGGTCAGGGGTCGTGGGTCCATCGTATGGCTTCCTGCCTGCAACTTCAGAAAGGGGACCCGCCTTGAAGTGAAGCGCGCTGGGCCTTTCCGAGGCTGGAGGATGCCCTTCACCATCGTGGCGCTCCCCACCCTCGTTTGTGCAGCGCTCGTCCGCCTTCTTCTGGCAGACCCAAGGACGCAGCAAAAGGCCCGGATCCCGTCATTTCCGGCCGACTTGCGGGTAACTTTGGATGCCTGGCCAGGCCAAAGCCAAGCGCGAGGAAGTGGTGACCAACGAGGTGGCGGATGTTGAAACATGTTGATGTTCCGTGCTTCGGGCAGGTCCTTGTGTTCTAGGTCGGTTCAGTCACGCCACCAGATGGAGCTGTAGTGTCGACTTTATATCTGCTTGCGTGCAAGTGTGCACCCGACCGGGTCTTTCTGCATTCCACCCTTGGGTTCAAGTTCACCACTCCGCTGCTCTCTGCTGTCGTGGCAGTTGTGTCACCCAAACGATATCGGCAGTAGCTGAGTGCGTCAGTCAGCGAGAAACACTGCGTGCACAAAGCATGTTCATAATCCTGTACTCACGGGTAGCTCCAATTGTTTAGGTCCTGGCAGCCATTGATGTGACCGTTACGGGCAGTTGCGTTTGACCGATCGTGTCAGCCTGTGGTAGAGAGGCCTTTTCTGCGTGGATGGGTGGTGCAGAAATTCGTGGGGAAGGACTTAGCATGGAGGATTTGGTCAGAGCCTGAACTCACCGAGAACAACTGTAACTAGAGAAGCTGTCCTGGACTGCGATTCAACTCAGGACCTGACCAAGTTTCAAAAGGTCTTCGCGGTGAAATCCAACATGTTGGTTTTCGCGCAGGCCAGGAGCTGTCGGCAGATGTAGGCATATAAGCCAGAAGCTGTCAGCTTACACTGGCTTCGAAAGGCACTGCCTGGTTGCATCCCCATCTCAGTCATCGTCACATTCCTCGCTGACTATTTGGCAACCGACCAAGGCATGGCGGTTGAGGACTGGGCCACATCTGCAACAGTGCTGTGAGATGCTCCGTATGTTTCGATTCGTGAGAGCTCGCAGAGCAGCTTCCCTCGGTCCTGAGGCATCCACGGCCATCACGGCGGTGTTTGGCATGAGCTGCTTGGCCTTCGGAGTGACCGGTGGCATCCTTGGACAGTCCCTCTGGAACCAGAGGCGGGAGCACTTGGGCAGTTGATCGCTCTGAACTGCACTACCGGTGCGCAGAGGCAGAAGAAGATGCAACACTTCTGCTTGCTGACCGCTGCCGGCATGCTGGCGCCAAGCTCGGTGTTTCAAAGCACAAAGGCCGAGGCCTGTCCGTCTCTTCTTTCCGAAGCTCTCGAAGGTGGCTCCGCTGCCATTTATGCTGCTCGTGAACTCCTCGCAGGCTCAGAATTGGACAAGCTGCTTGCATTGCTGTGCAATCTCCGTCCTCGCAGGCGCTGATCACGACTTCATCTGGCCGGCCAACGCTCTTTGCCTTCTTCTTGGCTCTGTGCGGCGGGTCTGCTGCACTTGCAGGCGAAAGCACCTGTTCGAAGCTTCAAGCTTTGGCAGTGGTGTCGTGCAGACTCTGCACTTTTTTCGAGTCGTCAGGTCCCAACATCCGGGCAGTGCTTATGAACGTGAACCCCTCGGAGCGGCGTGGCACGGTCTTCTCAGCTTTCACCTTGTGCGATGACCTGGGCAAGGGGCTGGGCCCCAGCATTGCATCCTGACAGAATTTTGTACATTGTAGCATATCATAGTATGTTTTGGTACGTTAGAGCATACAATGGTAGATTATGGTATATTGTAGTATATTATAGTCTATATTTTTCTATATTTTTTTATTATAGTATTTTCTAGTATATTGTAGTCTATTATCGTATATTATCGTATATTATAGTATATTATAGTATATTATAGTATATTATAGTATATTATAGTATATTATCGTATATTATCGTATATTATCGTATATTATCGTATATTATAGTATATTATAGTATATTATGGTATAATATAGTATATTGTAGTATATTAAAGCGTATTATAGTATAGTATATTACACTGCATCGTGTCATGCACTGACCTTTGAACCCTCTGCCAGGTGGTGGCGCTAGTGTCGCTTCTTGGACGCCGCAAGGCCTTCACCCTCGCATTTGGGGCTTGGTGGATCAGTGGCCAAGCTTGAAAGGAGGGATTCGGGTTGCCTCGGCGGCATGGTTGTCGCAGATTCCCTAGGTAGTCATTGAGACGGGGGGGAGTGATACCGGCATCAGCCAAGGTGGAGCCATTGTCACGCAGCTTCGCAGTTCCCTCAGCATTGATGCTTCACGTGGTGGAGATTCGATACTTCCGACGAAAAAGATGTAGATGTTCGGCGATGTTCGGCGAAGAGACTGCCGAGCCTTCGTCTGCCTTCCGTCCACGTAGACGTCACGAAGTGCCAGCTCTCAGTCCTTTGTGGTGACGTACCTGGTGACATGGTGGTGATCTTCCTGCGGCAACGGCGGCCTCTCTACGCACATCAGACATCGCCAGGAGCCTTCCTGCTGCAGCTGCCTCCAGATGCGTGCAGAACGCCTCTGATGAAGGGAGCACCATCTGTTGTGTGCATTGGGTCCGTGGAGAAATCAGCCCGACTTGCAACCACGCTTCTCCTCGCTCAACGTTGCTCAACAGCACATCCTCTGTGTGCTGTTTGGAGCCGTCAATGGAAGGATGCGCCGGCACCCCTGCCAGACCGAGCCTCAGGGGCTTAGAGCCGTGGAAGATTCGTTTCGCCAGGGAAGTGTCAGCTTCAGCTTGGAGCTCCTGAGTCCTCAACTGCTGCGGACGTCGCCGCTGCCGTCGACGGTCTTCTTCAAAAGGCGTCGAATCATGGCGACAGGACAAGCAGTCACCCCTCATGGGTGCCAGGAGGTGCTAAGACGCATGTCGCTTGTGGGAGCCCTGGGCTCCTGCAGATTGTGATCGACTGAAGCCGGCTTCGACAAATTCTGCGCCATGGCTTCTGCCTTCGCCGTTTGGGCCCCCAGGGAATTCAGATCCGCCGCTGCAAAGCAGCCCGGAGTAGCACCGCCTCGCGCTCTGGTCCGGTCATGGGCCGACGCACTTCGCCGACAAATACCCGCCGCAAGGCGCCGAAGGCGGTACCCGATGCAAGCCGGAGCAAGGCGAGGAGAGGAAAGGAATGGGGTCATGAAAGGACAGACTCGCAGAAGCTGCAGAATTCCTTTGTGCGGCTTTCAGGTTGTACATGCTGTCCGCTCCATGGCCGGATCCGTTTTGAGCTCGGCTGCCGGGTACTTACGGCTTTTGTGCAAAACCTTCATGGCTTCTCTGTCACACTTGCAGGAAGCGTTGCACTGTGATGCAGGCCTCCGTCTTTGAGCGTGCGGGGTATTTCTGTTCGGAGTTCGGCACTGAGCCTTTGCCACTTTGCCTGTTTTGAGCGGTGACATGCAGCCGGCCTGTGTCTAAGTCCAAAGCCAACGGACGGCGAGTTCGAGGATCTTCAGTCGGAGCTGCAGGCAGCAGAAGCTTCAGTGGATTCCGACCAAGCGCTGTACTGCCTAAGACCATGAGGAAGCCGTTCGATCTCGTGCCACAGCGATTTTGCAACACTACAAGGACTTTGGCTGGCGCAGGGAGTTGTTGCAGTGATTAAGTGCGCTCGGCACTCCGGCCGTGGCCAGGAAATTGCCGAGCCTGCGCGCAGTGTCCAAGCAGAGGAATGCCTTCTGAAGGACCCACAGACCCACCCATGTCACAATGACAATCATCATCGCCATCATCACCATTCGTCATCACCATCGCCGTCGCCATCATCATTACCATCACCACCTTCATCATCATCGTCGTCGTCATCATCATGATAGCACTATCATCGCAGTTCCGTCGGGGCGGCACTCGTACCGCCATGTCCGAGCAGAAGGGTGGCCGATGCCTCTTGCAAGGACCTGACAGAGCTGTCTTCAGCCATCCGCCAGCTGACAGAGGCTGAGTTGAATCGTGGAAGGCGGCAACTCCTCACTCCTCCTCTCCTTTTGAGCTCTGAGCTACGTAGCACTGGAGCCTCGGCTCGGAGGTTGCTGCGCAACTTGCGTGGTGACTTGGAGTCTTTGGCCGCGGAGCTGAGGGCCGGGGAACCCTTTCGGGAGCTTGGGAGCTGGGACTCGTCACCTTGGGCGCGCGTTGAGATCAGGTGCAAGTCACGAATGCAGCCACAGCGGCCGCAAAAGCTAGAGGCGGGCGAGTGGCGAGCACCAGCCTCAATGTCAACAGTTCGCGCCCTCATTAGCGCCCCCCGGTGGGAGCCGGTGTTGCTTTCTTCTCGAGGTGCAGCTCCCAAGACAATCGGCCACGAGCTCAGACGAGTTCAGATGCCCGGTTCGCCGGTGTCGTCAGCCTTGAGAGGCATTGCTTCGCGCCCGCGGACTCGTACCTTGCGTGACTGATTGGTCCTGATGACAGCAAGCACATCTAGTGACAATGTTTTGACTTGGTGGTCAGGCCAGGTGGACAGCATCAGTTGCTCTTCTAGCAAAGCTGGAGTGACTGAGCATGAATGAAACGTTCGCCATGCGGCGGCAGAACGCGCTGTGCATTGGGGGATTTGCGCAGTTCTGTGATGGTTGCTAGGAACTTTGTGTGGCGACCCAAGAGTGGTCTCGAGCCCTTCTCACAAGCTGCGGTCGCCTGGGAGGAAGTGCTGTCATCCCGCGCATTTCCTCAAAGAAGTTGGGGGCCGGCTTTTCCTGGCATACTATATGGCATACTATATGGTTTCCTTCTTAAGGTATATGCAGCTTTAGAGAAGAGCAGTATGATGGAAAACCTACAGTGGGCGACCGAGGCCGAGGCCTTGGCGATCAGCAGCTCCATCGCTGCTTTGGTGGCAAGCCCCTACGAAGAGGCCCCAGGATTCTGAAAAAAAAGGACTTGTGCAGGGGCAGATTTCTGCTGTTGTGATGCCCCCAGCTCGGATCTCTTCCGTACGAAGAACCGTGGAGGTGGATGCCGTCAGTGAGGCTGAGGCACGCTTGCTCTTTCTTCCTCGGTGCTTCTGGAGCTGTGTGCGCGCATGTGCTCGCTTGGGGCTCGGCCGTTCGTGCAGTACAGGTTTCAGCACCGGATGCAAAAGAAATGCTTGAAGCAGCACCCGCCTGCCTGCGTACACTCGCGAGAGCTGGCCCACAAATGCTTCTTTGCAGCTGAAAGTGGGTTGCCTCACAATGCCGGGTTTACGATTGTCTGCAAATTGTCGGCATCATGTCGCCTAGCTGAAAGGTTAAGAGAAACATATGGTGGTGCTGGATTTGTGGGGCCCGCTGGATTCATCCATGATTTATTATTCTACTTCACACCGGTCCTTTCAAGCAGAACGACCGCCTGTGCTTGCAGTACCTTTTCTGACCAGGCCTCAGTCACTGACAGCCGCGGCCTTGGAGAAAGGGTCGACGAGTGCTCACGGGCCTTCTTGATATTCACACCGCTCGTATGTGCATCTCCGGAAGGCGTTGGCAGCGCCGACAGCTGGCAAGATGCAGAAGTTCTGACCTGGCGAGTGGCTGGTCACAGAATTCTATCAGGATGTCCAGTTCTTGCAGACTCCAGCACCACTCGGCTGTTCCTCCTGCTTTGTCCTGTGGCCCGAAGTTTGGCAAGTTTGCAAGAGTAGGGTCCCTCCAGCAGAAGCTGACCAAAGTGAGAGACTGTGCAAGGCATCGACAGCTGCGGGCATGGCCAGAGCGGCCCTGGCTGCAGACGAGGCAAAAAACCAGAGTCCGGGGGGGGGGGGGGGGGGG